CAGATTATATTGTAATGTAGAGAGGCTCATAGCAAAAAGCAGAACACCGTAGATGAGAACACAGACTTAACAGCCGCACTGCCTGGGCTCAGACTTTGGGTCCACCACTTACCAGCTGTGCAACCATGGGCAAAATGTTTAATTTCTCTGGTATCTGTTTTTCCATCTATAAAATGAGGCTAATGATAGTACCCATCCCTTAGAGCTATTATGAGAATTAAATAAGTAACGTTTGTAAAATAATTGGAACATTACCTGGTATGAAGTTTGTTGTTGTTGTTAGTGCTGTGGAGTCAGATTCCGACCCCTAGCAACCCGGTGTACAGCAGAGTGGAACCCTTCTCTGTCTTTTTGTGCCATCCTCTCACCTTCTGGCGCTATATCAGACAATGCTCCACTGCTATTCACAGGGTTTTCATGGCCAATTTTTTTGGAAGTGGGTGGCCAGGTCCTTCTTCCTAGTCTGTCTAGCCTGGAAGCTCCGCTGAAACTTGTCCACCACAGGTGACCCTGCTAGTATTTGAAATACCAGTGGCATAGCTTTCAACATCACAGCAACAGGCAGCCACCACAGTACAACAACCAAAACAGACAGGTGGTGCGGTTCCCTGACCGGAAATGAACCCTGCCTGGCAGTGAGAGCCCTGAATCTTAACCACTAGACTAGACCACCAGGTCTGGCTGGTATGAAGCAGCGTAAATAAAGTAACGTATTTTTTCACCGTATTTTTAAATTAAGAAAATTGAGATACTTCGTAATTAGGTAAGGTAATGAGTGAACCTCAACATGTTCATAAATATGGGAAAAATATAAGTATGAATTAAAATTTGAACATGTCCACTTTTGTCAGTAAGTCCTCTAGGCCAATACAATGCATTAGCATTGCTTTAATTGCCTTTTGATTGTAGGATATAGCTATTCAGCTCCCATACCCATGATATAATTTTGTAATCAATGGTGCTGTTTCAGATAATAAACAAATTGTATTTTGAATGGTTGAGTAACTTCTGATACAAAATCTAGCTACCTAACAACTCCTAATCTGAGGATATCAAATTGATATTAAGGGAAGTAACAATTTAGAGAATGCATGGATATAACATTGGTTTGCTTTGTTAAGGTTGTTATTCAGTTCATACAAACTATCGTCCCACATTTAAAGAAACACTTTCTAAGCATCAAAGCCAAGACTCAAAACTGTGAATTTGGAAATCTAATAGCTTTTTAATCATTGCAAGTCATTTTAGCAAATAGATAATTAGGATTCCTGATGCTTAAATAGATTTTTACATTAATTTATGTGCAATCTTTAAATAGACTATGTTTTGCAGAAGGTGAAATCTTTATAAGGTAGTCTTCTATATTCTATAAAATATGATATCTTGAAAACTACACTTCAATATAGGACTGTACATGGGACTGTAATAGCTGGTGGTTAAATGTTTTAAAAAATATATAATTATTTTCATGAATGCTTTTCTATTACAGGTGTTTTCCTGGAGAAGGTTCAATGGACTTTTGTTATGTGCTTTAGTAACGTAGTTAGGGAACATATTGGTAAAGTGCAACACTGAGGTTTTCTTATTCTATAATCTTAATTCCTTCAACTTTCAATTAAGCATTTATTTAACTGTTACATTGTGTGAGGTGCAATGAAAATGTAAAAAAGTTAATTAATCCAGTCCAATTTGATTTATTTGGGATAATTATTAAATTATGCATTAAAATTTTAAAAGTACAAATAAAAAAGAAACTTTTTGGGTTACTTAAGCTAAACTTAGACTATAAGTCTTCTGATATTTACTTTTTAACGTACTAAACGTTGCATGTCATGTCACTTTATTAAATTAAATTTTCATGCTTTAGAAACCTTTAATAATGATTTTTCCAGAAACTTTTTCAAGAACTTATTTAAAAGTTTTATATTTCTCACAATAAAACAAAGAGAAAATAACTAAGAAACAAGACTTCAAAATATTTTAATTTTTGTCTAAAGTCCTGTTGTCTTAAATTAGTTATGTCTATATTTGAATATGTCTCTTATTTTTTATTTATTATTCTTAATGCTTAATTTGCTAAAAGAAAATATAAATCTGAGCATAAATGGCATCCTAAGAAAAACTAAGCAACTAGAGCAAAAATTGAAAATTAATTTGGGTATTTTTAAAGTCTTTATGCTTGAGTTGCTTTATTTTTCTAGACTTAATAAAAATTCAAAATTACTTAGTAATCCTTAAAAACATTTAAATTTTATTATATTAATTGCTCTACTTTCTATGGGTAACATATATTCTTAGACAAGTACATTCTCTTTGAAGTTATTCTATTTGCTTATATTTTGTTCTTATTCCAATAGATGGGTCAATTTTAATTTTCCAACTCCCTCTCTGAATTTGAGGAATTCTTTCATATTTAGACTTTAAAAATTACAGGTGGATAAAAAGGAATAAATACAATGTCCTTCCATTCAATTGTCTTCAATAAAAGTCACGCAATTGCAAAAACAATTGTTGAACACATTTATCTCTCTGTTAAACTACATGTAAGGCTTAGAAAACATTTTTATATTATGGTGATTCTATAATAAATGGGTCGATATAATACTGTTGGTTGCAACTTACAGTATTTTTGTCTATATTAAAGTTAAGATCTTGATGGTTATTCTTGCATTCTTTCTGTGAATTAAAATTAGAATAATCTAATTAGTCCCTAAACATTAAAACGTTACAGTTACCAATAATGGAACAAAATCTAAATTATATGACTTTGAGATCAACAATAGGTTCACATGAACTATATTTTCTTTTCTGGATCTTCTGCTTTTAAAGGAAAATACAGTTTTCTTCCTACTGCAGAAGTATCAGATTCTTGCAGCATCCATGACACTTGTAAGCATTCAGTGGTCAGACACCACTACATATCCTTCAAATGATATGGCCCAGTGAAGCTGGAAGGTGTCATCACAGAGCCAGGCAGCCTGGTATCTCAGCCGTCCACCAGGACACAGCCAGCAGGTCCCAGTTGGTGTGCTGAGTCCAGACTAAGGTGGGAAATGGATTTTGCATTTTGAAAGTCAACTCTTCTAACATTGAACCCTAGGACATACTTATTAGATAAAACTACATTGAGGGCTTCAGAAATTATTTATTTATTAGATCAAATTTATTTATTAGATCAAAATGCCCATTTTCCAAATTACTCTTAGAACAAGTTAAATCTTAATTTTATTATCCTTCTGGGTTTCTGAATTTATAGTAGATTGTATGTATTTTTTAAGATATGAATAAATGTTCAGAACTATAACTGTGCTGTCTGAATCTTCAATATATATGATATATGCTAAACTAAATACACTTGTAGGACATTTAAAAGTTATGAAAGTTAAAATAACAATATTAATCACCAAGGCCCATTGGTGTGGCGCTGTTTGCCCATCACACTAAGCTTACCATTTTGATCTTTAGACAAATGAAAAACTCTTACAAAATAAAAATACATTCCATGTTCTTGTTCTCACTTGAACTCCTGTGTTCACTCTTCAAGCACACAGGGGTTTGGATTCTTGGTTGTGCTATTGTCCTACTGTCATCTTTTGACACCACAATTTATTAACTCAGCTCTCACAGATATCAGAAAAATCAACTTAGAAGATTTCTAAGTTCAAGATTTCCCATGCCTCCTGTGGGCCTCACCTGAACACCAGTGCTGCTTAAACAATTGTAGAGAATATCCTCTATTTCTTAAAACTTTAGTTACCTAGGCTTGGCAGAAACATCATGATGAAAAAATAAACATTGAATTCCATAAGGCTGCACAAAGTGGACCCCATTCTTTAGACATCTTTCAGACATCCTTCTGAATGGGAAAATGCTATGATGGATTTTTAGACCATGTACTTTCTAACGTAACGCTTTGGTGGATTCGGCTGGGGTAGCCTGGCATCTGGACTCATGATGTTTTATCACGAGAAACTGAGAAGATACTGCTTCTCTTTTCTAAAAAGAGAAAAAAACCCTCTGCTAGGGCTCATTAAAAAGGGTTTTAAAATTGGAGCCAATAAAACACGACTGTCAATTTCTACAGTTCTTCTTTTTTTAATCTCAGCAGCATTTTAACAAGGCATCATTTTTCTCTGCCCTTTGACATGAAATCCTACTTGCAACACACACACAGACACATTCCAAATAGCAACAACCACAACTCCCCAACTTCTTTGTGACTTCGGAGCAGGCACACAGACCTAACTGGACCAGATGACTCCTCTCCTCACAGTTTTCCACTGCGCTCCACTTTGAGATGGGAGCTACTAGGCATGATTCACTCTGACACCCTGAAACCTCTTGCTTTGCTCTCCTTTAAAAGTGAAAAGGAAAGGCTTTCCACAAGATAGAAAAGTTTGCCTGGGTATGTGATGCCAGAATTTCCAATAGTGACCCTAATAGGCAAAGCATTTCGGGGCTCTAACCTCCAAAGGGAGCAGACCCCAGTCTCTAAAAAACAAAAAACTACTTGATTGTTTGACAGAAAGAATGAAAGCTCTCCCGTCCCAGCATCGCCTGGGCGGTTGTGCTGGCCCAAGACAGGAAAGAGGTGAAGTGGCGTGGGCACTTCTTGTGCAGAATCCTTTTCCTTAAGCAAGCTCATTTTAAGATGTGGAAGGAGGACTGGATAGAGAGAGTTCCAAAGCTGCACTAACAGCCCAGGCCTATGGCCCCACCTGCCTGTCAATTTCAGTCCACAAGTCCCACATTTCTTGCTCTAGGGATACTGAGAACGGGGGCTTTCTCGCGCTCAGGGATGCTGTTAGGCCAGTTCCCTGCCCACCTTTCAGGGACTCTGAAATCCACTTTCCCCACACAGTCTGAATTGTTTGTTTGCGTTTGTTTTCAGCCTGCCCCAGCCTTCAGCTCAGCCCATCCCTCTGCCCCCTCTCCTTGCCCCCTCCCTGCGGCCTCTCTGGCTCCCTTCCACCCCCGCCCTCCTCTTTGTTGTCTCCTACCTGCTGGCCAGGCTCTGCCTGCAGTGCTGCCTGAAGGGCATCAGGTGGTAGTTCATGGCGTCCAGCAGCAGCTTCTGGCAAACTGGGTCGGTGCGCATGAAATCCACTGACTGGACCCGCTCCACCAGCTCCGGGGCCGGGATGAGCGCGAAGCGGAGGCGCTTCATGAGGTCGGGCGCATACTGCATGCGGGTCTCGCGGTCGTGCTCCAGCCACAGCACGGACATCTGGAAAAGCGCCAGTTCCGACTCCACCGGGGGCGGCAGCGAGTCCAGCAGGGCGCGCATCTCCTCGAAGTTGAGCAGCAGCACATCCTCCACCAGGTACTTGTTGGCCAGCTTCTTGGTCTCCTCCAGGCCGTGCAGCGCGGCGATCTTGCACACCTGCTTGTAGTTCTGCACCGAGATCTGGTCGTTGAGGAACTGCACGCAGAGCTTGGTGACCTGGGGGATGTGCAAGATCTTGCTGACCGACAGCACCTCCTCCACTGTGTCCAGGGAGAGGGTCACGTTGGCCGTGTAGAGATACTCGAGCACCAGGCGCAGCCCGATGGACGAACAGCCCTGCAGCACCAGGTTGTTGATGGCCCGGGGACTGGTCAGCAGCTTGTCGTCGGGGGAGGAGGAAGGAGTCCCGGGCTCCTCCTGCGGCGGCGGCTGCTGCTGCTGTGGCTGCTGCTGCTGCGGCTGCTGCTGCTGCTGCTGGTCCTTGGGGGCCCCCAGGCCGTCCTGGCCGCCGACCCCTCCCCCGAGAGGGGGGTGGCTGGAGAAGAGCGATCGGAAGTACTGAGAGCAGGAGGCCAGCACGGCCTTGTGGCAGTGGAACTGCTGGCCCTGGGCCGTCAGGGTCACGTCGCAAAACAGCTGCTTCCTCCACAGCAGGTTGAGGCCGTGCAGCAGGTTGTCGCTGTGGCTGGGGTCGAAGGTGGAGGTCCTGTCCCCGGATCTGGACATGGCGAGCTGACTCGGCGCACCTGGCTTTAAACCCTCCTCCAACCTGGCAGACGGGGTGGGGGATGGGAGGGAGGGGAGAGGGTAGTGGAGGGAGTGGGGTGTGGTCGGGGTGGGGAAGGGTGTGGAGGGGAGGGGAGGGCGAAGAACAACAATCAGTGCTCAGCTTGGCTCCTGCCCGGCGCGCCTCCGGACCCCGACCCTAGGAGGAAGGTTTGAAGGCACTGGATCCCTGAGCGCTACCAGAATGGCCCTGTCTGGGGTCCGGGCGCCCGTTCGGCTCCCTGCTACTCCTCTCGCCACCGCCCATACACTTCGTCCCTCACTTTCCTAAAACCACCCCGGTTCGGCTCCTGGCAGCGACAGCGGTGGCAGCAGCGACGGCAAAGTGGCGGCTGCGGCCGAGACACCTTGTGGGCTTGTGTCCATGCCGGGCCGGGTGAAGGGAAAGGCCGGGGAGTGGGGAGCCGGGGGTGCCCCAGAGCGCAGAGGAGACCGACGGCGGAGGTTCTAGGTCAACTTGTGCCCGCAGCTTTGCTTTTCGCAGTTGGTCCAGTTTTGGGGGGTAGAAAAGGGGGCCCCACAAGCGTGCGGGTGGGCTATTCTTAGCCCTTCAAAAGCTGGGAACCCCTTGTATTATCCGTGCTGCCCCGAGAAACTCCTAGGCTAATAGTCTGAGGGAGCAGATAAAGCCCTTTCTTCTCCCGGGAAAGTGCAGCGGAGCGCGGTGAGGACCAGCTCAGTGGACTCGGCAGAGGCGGGAGCTGTCCTTATCAATTCTAGCTCATTTCCCTCACCCCGGCCCTGCCTGCTTCCCTGCTTCGCAAACTGCTGGCTTCCCTGTCACCGCTCAGTTTTGCTCATTTTCCAGAGACGCCTTTAAACCTGGCAGGAGAATCCCTCCAGCCCCCCACCCCAGGCCCCCTCTCCTCCGCCCCCCGCATTCCCAAGCGCGGAAGTTCAGACGTGTATCTCCCCTTCCCTCGCCGGGCGGCCCAAGGAAGAGGAGCAGGGAGGACGTGGGGCTGCTGGGGTGGATTTAGAGCAAGAGCTGGGAGGCCCGGAGGGATTCGTGTGGACTGTTCTCCCTCCTGGGTACCAGGCGCAGTGGCTTTAACTCCAGTAACTATAAGAAGTTCAAGTTAACAAGCAGGTGTTGGGGGAGGGGGTGGGGGCTGTCCACTGGGGGGGGGTGCGCAGTTCGGTATGGGGTCTCTGCATCCCACCCAGCATGGTCGCCCGCAGCCGCAGCTTCCTTCCGAGCCGCTCGGTACAGCCCCCAGCGGCCCCCCACCCAGGCACCCCCACTCCCCCGGCCCTGGAACTACTTCTCTAAAAAGTCTGAGTCGCCCGCATCTAGGCGGCGGAGGGCAGGATAGGGGAGGCGAGGCGAAATCGATACGCCGGGTCCCTAACCTGTAATTGCACCTTCTAGGGCTGAGCAGAAAGGGACCCTCTGCCCACATCCCGGCCGCGCGCCCGCCAGCCCGGGAGGGCCGCCGCCGCCGCCCGGCTCAGAGGGATCCCGCCGGACCTGCCCCTTCCGCTGCGGCTCACTCTGCCCTGCCTGGCGCCAGTCCTGGATCGCCGGCTTCCTATTTATACCGGACTGGGCTCCTCTCGACTCACTTTACCATCCCGTTCCAGGTGGACCCTAACCTCCCTCGAGCTCCCTCCCCAGGCAGCACACCCCCCCACCCGCCCCCAAAGCTCTGGCTTTCCTGAAACATCTCCCAGAGTCTCTCCCTTTAAGTGGATCGGGTCATACCTCTCTCTCGCTCTCCCCGCTTCGTTGTCTTGCCCCCCCACCCCCATCTTTCCCTGTTCCCCTTCCTTCTTGTTCTCCTCCGTTGCCTTTCCCCCTCATCTGCTTATTTCTTGCAATAGGAGTTTTATTCTTTATGAGCGTTTGCCACACAACTACCCCCCCACCCCTCTGAAAGACTCCCTCCCCGTCCGTTCCCCCGCCAACAACCCAAAAGACAGAACAAAATACACACAAGGCAGACACAAGGCCAGAAACTTACCTGCTTTCAACCAGCTGCAAAGTCAAGGCTCACTTAAGCTCCCCCCCAAAAATCAATTGTCCTTCCTTTTTAAAGGTTTGCTCTCTCCTTGGGAGGGGGAGAACACCTTCTGGTTCCCAACTCCAGGCAGTCACTCTTTACAATTTATTTTGTCGTACATCATTTGATCACCATGAATTAGCAACAGCAAGAAAATGTAGGAGAGGGAGAAAAGAGAGAAAGAGAGAGGGAGAGAGAGGGAGAGAGAGAGAGGGAGCAGAGCTTTCTGCAAGAGAAGAAGAAGAAAAAATGTACGTGTGACAAATTATGCTACCAAGAAACAACACATCATTATCCTTGGGCCTGGGGCTCAGTGAGTCGTAACGAGAGTAATAGGAAATCCACGGTTGGGGAGAGAAACGGTCGTGCTTGGCCAGTAGAGAGAGACCATACAGGGGGATGGATGCTGGAGAGACTCGCAAAATTATGGCTCAAGGCTATTGTAAAAATTGTCGAGCGTAAATGACTGCGATTTCAAACATCTTTGGAAGAAAGAAGGGGAAAAAGCGAGCCCCCCCTCCCTCCCTCTGCCTCTCTCTCCCTCTCTCTTCTCTCTCTCTATAAAGAACCGTCAAGTTTTAGTGCGCATTGCTAATTAGTCAATTTCTCTCTGCCTTCACAGGCTGGCGACTTCGCTGCTGAGCTGAAACTGCTAATTTCTGTGACCAGCTTTTTTCTTAGCTGTGATCTGGATGAATGAGTAGCTGTCTCACAGAGATGACAAAAATAAACTCTAATCCCCCCAAAAATTTCCACTACATCTTTCTCATGCATAGATTTATGATCTTCAAGCGCTCTGTGCAATATGCAAACTTTTTTTTGTGTCTGTATATATGCTGTTGTTTCCAGATTTCACTACATTGGTATGCTGCTTTTCCCTTCCACCCCCCTCCCCCCCACACTATGAAATGCAGAAACCGTCTGATCTCAAAGTATGCCAAGATGCCACTTTCTAGTGTCTTGGTATTTGGGGTTTGAGTCTGACTTGGAAGACACTAGCCCTTGCCTAAGAGGTGAGTGGCTGAGTGTAGAAACGGGGGGTGGAGGAATTAGAGCTGGTAGACAGAACAGAGGACAGCCCTTCGCTTTACATTTATTTCTCTGCACTATTCAAGCTTTATGATCTTGTTGGAAAACATATTTTCTCTATCACTTTGTCTGGTTAAACAATCATCTCTGAACTTCTCTGTCAGCTCTTCAACAGATAAAGGTTCAAAAGTCACTTTTTTTATTGGAAGATTATTATATTGTCAGATTTGTCTTTCAATTAGGAGTCTTTGATTTGCAGGAGCTAGAATCAAATGGTAGGAAACCCAGCTGCAATTTCACAAATGTAACCTTTAAACTTTGGAGCTCATCTGATATATAGGGACGACCATACAGAGCTCACATTTTTGACCCTGCTTAGCATGCAAAATGAACCCCAGCATGATTCTGGAATTTCAGCTGTACCACAGACTGATGTGCATTTTGGCAGAGGACATGTTCTCTAGACCTATCTCATGATGTATTACACCCTTACATTTACAGCCCTGCATTTTGGTTGTCAATGGGGGTTGGAGGTGTCCAAGAAAGAAAGAAAAAAGCAGCAGAAGGGAGGTATGCCCTTGAATAAAATGAAAGCTGGACCTGAGTTAAATTCAGTTTTGTGTGCTATTAAATATATGAATATGATTCATTCTAATTTATATGTGTTCTGATTAGTAAACTTATTAAAATACACATCAGGGACCACTGAGAGGCTGTCTTTTTACCTTCCCCTTTGATTTGTGAGAGATGGAAAGACACCTGCTTAAGGGAAGGGGAAAACTGAAAATTCTTTGGTTCAGAAATAGGGAATTCCCCATTTAGAATAATAAACATTAACATACATATGGGATATTTACTCTTAAATAAATGAAGAAGGATTGAACTGAAGCATTTATCCCTCACAAAGTCTCTCTTTTACCAAGGTCCTAGATTATCTGAGAGTAGGACTACTTTAGTCAGATCTTGCTGAGATGCTGCATTCTCACATTCATATTTGCAATAAAAAGCCCAAATACATGGTAAAATAATACAAAAGGATTTTTTTTGTTGTTTAGAGCAGAGGAAAGAAAGAGAACAGATTATCCAAATCTTCTGGCCCGACTATTTGTTTTGATTTTTTGAATTTCCCTTATTTAGATCTTGAACAGGAAGATTGTGTGACTATAATATAGCGCTTTTGGGGGTTTCTGTTTCATTAGCAATTAAAGCTATCAAGTATGTGGAGTGTCACCAAACTCTCATACATGCAAAGTACAATTTGTGTAGGATGCTTTGTATGTTGATCTTTTACCAGCTTCCCATGAAGTATTTGGAACTAAATCCAAAGGCGAATAAGAGTATTGATCACTTACATTTTTGCCATCTTTCCATTTTATCGTAAAGGAATTAAGATATGTTTTGTAGACTTCAAAATATCTTAGTTTTTAGTTTGTATTTTTTTTTACTAATAGGATATATTGATGACTAATTATGATTACTAGGATCTTTGTTGCTTCCAAACAATACGAAAGCCACATTTTAAAAATTTTAACTACTTATAATTTTAATGATTATTTAACAACTAGGGTGGAAGGTGAAGGGGGAATTGGGGGCTTGCAATTCTAAAACAGTTGTTGAAGTAGCTAGGCTGTTTTCTTCTGGGTTTCAAAGGTACGCTATTTGAGAACATTTAAAATTTCAGAGAAAAAATTACAATTATGGCTATTTTGTAAGCAGTTAAAAAAGAATATTGATAATAAAAAAACCCTTTCGTAATCTGTGCATAAACTAGCATATAGTTCATGTAAATCTCACACCTCCAATATCTTGCACTGGCTTTGACTGAAATTATTGCAGAACTCACAAATGATATGACACTATTTACAATAAATCCCGTTATGAAAGATTCAATTTGCAGCAATCAGATGCTAGCTACTGAGCGACTGTAAGTATTTGAATTTTATCCTACTTCACTGTTCAACGTACAGAAATTGCATCTGTGTGTTTGATCTGTCCTGCTGAGCACTATCAGCAGCCTGCATCTCTGCCACTATTGTTTTTAAAATGGCAGGAAGGACGTGACTAGTCAAGAGCACTCAGCAGGATGGATTTCACATGGCATAAGAGAAGCCAGAATTGTCTTATAAAAAAAATTAAATATGATCATGTAGTCATCTAATTCTAGCAGTCTTCAGACTTCGACAGAATTATCAAAATTATTCATCAGTGAATCTGCATTTAAACTATGTACAGCGGAAAGATTCTGAAACGGCTGCCAGTGAGCTGTCTACCAGAGCTGCCGCTAGGTCTGAGCAGTCTGGGCAGCCTTCAGGGTGGCAGGGACCCAGGCAGAGCAGTGGGTCCAGTTCAGGACCATCTCACTGGACTGGATGAACTCAAGATTATCTTGAGAGGAGTTCCAGAAGTGCTTTGCTGCCTAACATGAAGGGGAAGCCACATTGGAACTTTATTTTCCTCATTCTTGACTTTTCTGCTTAAGATTTACGAGTTATCACCAAATTGTATAAACATCAGAGCCTGGCCTCCCCTGTGTTTCTTTTGGCTAATAAATACTACTTCCTGAAGCCTGACCTTTAAGACTGCTGCCATTGTAAAATGCGTAGATGAAAGGAGAATTTATTCCATTTTACAATAAAATTGAATAAGGAAGGACCTCATAGTTCCCCAAAGGCAGGGAGTGACAAAACCCATACTAAACTCATAGATTTCTAGTGTTTTTTTTTAAAATCTTGGGTAGGCGTGGCCAGGAATATCACAAAAGCATCAGCATCAAGAAGCTTATTGAGAACAAAAAATCTGAAATAACAGTAAAAGATAAGAAATCGTGCTATTGACCAGCATTTAGTCAAAAGCCAGTGGTTTACTGTTGCCCAGGTCAAGCCCAGCTCCATGGCCAGCATTCAGGGTTGCCAGGGTCTGGCTCTAGCTCCTCCAGGAAGACTGTTAGCTGTTTTTTGGACACATCCAACTTTCACACCACAGTGCCTATGCTTAGGTTGTGTCCTTATGAGAGGCCTTGGTTTTCTACATATAGAAATCCCACCTATTCCTCAAGATTAAACTCAGATTTCTTTCCACTATGAAACTTCTCCTGGCAACCTCGAGCAGAATAATAGTAGCTTATACTTATTGAGCTCATTACTTTGGGGTGGACACTAGTCTAAATCCTTTAAATGTTTTGTTTTCTTAATCCTCTTGCTAATCCTATGAGGGAATATGGAAGATTGTAAAAATGGCCCCAACTCTCCATCCTTCCTGGTATAGACACTCCATTATAATGTGGCTTTGCTGCTCTTTCCATCAAGAGTGGAGTCGATTTCCTCACTTCTTGAATGTGAACTGGCCCTGTGACCTGCTTTGACCAATAGAATATGCCAAAAGTGACTTTATGCCGGCTCCAATCTGAGACTCAGGAGGCCTTGTATGCTTCAATTCTTCCTCTTTGAACCCTGCCATGTGAAAAAGCCCAAGTTAGCCTGGTGGCAGATGAGATACCGCATGGACCAGCCATTCCCCAGCTGACCTGATAACTGAACTGAGATGCGTGAATGAGCCCCGCCAAGACAAAGAACCAACACAGCCCAAATTATTGACCCGCAGAACTCTGAGCTAAATAAATGGCTGCTGTTTTAAGCCATTAGTTTTTGGGATGACTTGTTCCATAGTAAAATTAGCTGATAAAGAAAAGTACTATTATTGTAATTTTACCAATGAGCAAAATGAAGAGAAGAGAAATCAAGTAAAATTTTCAGGGTCACACAGCTTTTCAAAGGTAGAGCTGAGATTCAAACCAACACAACCTGACTCCCGAAATTAACCACTCTACTACACTGGCCAAGAAAAAAATTCTTGCCTCCTGTGAACCTCATTCATTCATTCATCAAGCATATGTTAAGTATTTATTATATACCAAACAACGTGTTAAGCATTGAAGATACGATGATGCATAAAACTACATCCTTGCCCTCAAGGGGCTAACATTCTAATGGAGGAGACAGGCAAGTAAATTAGACACGGCAAGTGAATAATATAATTGCTCTAATAAGGGTATGTATAATGAACTATGGGAGGAGAAAGAAGCAGGCTCCAACTTCCTTATAGAACTTATTATCTATAATACTCTGCTGACATTTATTATTTACTACTTCATATTGTGAGTTGCTTATTTAGGGAAGTATATTTTATGATCTCAACTAGATTATAAGCTTCCAGGGGAGAAAGAACCTTATGCCTGGTAAAACCTCTTGTGGTTCATAGCTCTGCACCTTGCTCATAGTAGTTATTCAATAAGTATATTGATGGACTATGAAAGAGGAATTTTCGAATTTATCAGAGTAACAACAGAAAGAACAGGGAGTATTTCATAATCAGAGACTGTGTTGGGCATTTGACTAAAGCGGTGTTACTCAAACTCTTGATTATAGTGGTCTGTCTAAAAATTGATAAAATCTTTGTAATATTTTAAAATAAACAATGTATTGCTCACAGCACATAGATAAGTGTTTGGTGGGACCTTAGTGAGTGCTTCCCTCAGATCCTTCACCTATGGTAACCATCTCTCAGCAAAGTGCTCTAAAAATGTGAGGAGGGTAGTTAC